TGGGGTCTGGTTTTCATGTATTTTAGTGAGGGGGGACTAGATGGATATCCTTTCTAATGGAATGTTTTCTAGTTCTGTTAGGAGGAATCCCTTGATTTTCTCTTTTCCTCACTCCTTCCCCCACCTTCATCCATCCCCCATATATGTGTTTGGATAGTAACAATGAAAAAGTGGACCTCTATGTCAGAAATGGCAGATTTTTAAAGAAAAAATCATCTGTACAGATATGATAAGTATTTACTTAATATAATTATTTTATAGGGAAAAAGCCCCGCAAAACTTTCCCTGTAGTCACAGCCTCACCTGTGAACTATATTCTTTGATTCTAAAGATAAAGAAGAGGGATAGAATAGAAGGAAGTCACTGAGAGATCTACTAAAATAATTGGTAAGTTATCTGCAGGAGGGAGGCATTCAAGTAATTTTGGAAATGAAAGGCAGCTGTTAGATTTACTTGATTATTTCTTAGAAAACTTTGTACATGCACATTTAGTTCAAGAAGTAACTATTTTCCAATATTTGTACTAACTTAATAGAATTACAGATTTGTGAGGGAACTTGGGCATTATCTAGTCATGTGTCCAGCCTCTAACCAAACTTGACTTGAGCCATCTCAAGAAGAGAGCTCTTTAAGCTTTTGTTTTCAGGGAGAGAATCTTACTTTCTACTCAGACTAACAGGATATATAATGTCCTTCTATTACAGTTGAACAGGGATTTGTGAAGTTGAAAGATCTGACTTAGGAAACAGGGGTCCTTTATTTCTGGCCATCTCACCCATTACTCCCCACTTCTTCCCATGTCCCTGATTCTGCATAGCTTCCTTGGTATGAAGGATAATCTTGTACTTCAGGATGACTCTTAGGGTTGATTTGACCTGTGTCTTAAGGGGTTTTGTAGCAGATTTGAATTGAGAAACTGACTGTCCATCAGATGAAATTTAACCTGCTTTAGAACCATTTGCTTAGTGGGACTTAGATGCTCATGATATTCAAGGAAACTGCACCAGGGGCTTAAGACATGGTCTTCTCTAGAAAACTATTTAAATGAGAGTTTGAGAGAGGCTAAGGAGAGGCATAATGATGGCTTAAGTGAAGAAGAGCCATACCAGTAGAAACAATGCAGTGCATGACAGGGCCCTGCACCTACTGTTGGACAGATGGTTTGGAGGAGGCTTACTGGAGGACATAGGTTTTAAGCAGATCTTTGAAAGGAGCATGGAAGAAAGGAACATAAATTGGAGACATATCAGAAGGGAAGTATAATATTTCTCACTGGAAATTAGAAAGAAGATTTTTATGCGGGGGACAGTAGATAAGATTGTGGAAATAGTCTGGAGAGTTTGAGTTATGCATTACTAATCTGGTTAGATGGTAGGAGTGGGGCAGATAAGCAGGTCAGAGATGCTAAGAAACTTGGGTTTGAAAGGCTTGGCACTAATGCTAGTTTATGAGCAGGAGGGACATGATCAAAATTATGCTTGAGAAAGATTATTCTTTAAGTAGTGTGCTTAATTTCATCAAAGAATTTCCAGGCTGTCCTTATGGAGAAGTGTGGATAAGATGCTGGTCCAGTTAGGATGACAGAGCTGACAAAATAGGTACTAGACTTGGGGTAAGACTTAGTAGTATGCTTTAGTTCAGTGCTACTTTGTTGAAAGATCTTGGTGAAGATGGGGATACAGTTTAGATAATGCAGAACTGGGGGAAATAGTTAGATTCATAGGTGACAAACTTGGGGCAGGTCAGTTAGCTTTGGTGTCCTTATCAGTGCTGTAGGTATTCAGACCAGTTGGCTTCTGAGGTATGGTTCAGTAATGAAATTATGTGATTATAGGATTATAGTGTAAAGGTTGACTCAGTCAAGGAAACTAAAATTTAAACTTCATGAGTGCAAGGATTTTCCTAGTCCTTGAAAACTGCCTTGCACATAATAGGCACTTACTAAATGTTTGTTGCATGAATAAATGAATGTTATGAGTTTAATATTCTTTGAGGAAGCTTATAAGAGAACATTCTTCTTCATCATCATTAACATCATTATTAATAAGCATATCGGATTTTTTTTATAGAATTAAGCTTCATATATTCTCTACTCAGGGATTATCAAACTTTTTCTGTAAAGCACCAGATAGTAAATATTTTTGCAGGCCAAGTAGCTCATTGCAACTACTCAGCTCAGTAGTTGTAGCATAAAAGTGGCCATAGACAATCTGTAAATGGGTGAGCATGGTTATGTTCCAATAAAGCTATTCATGGACACTGAAATTTGAATTTTACATAATTTTAAAATGTCACAAAATCATGGTTTTTTTTGACATTTTTCCCTCAACCATTTACACATGTAAGAATCATTCTTAATTTACACTATACAAAAACAAGCAGTAGGCCATAGTAGTACTTGTAAGCTGTAGGAGTACCTTGCCAATCTCTACTTTTACTGGTTTCTTAAACATATCTTAGTTGAAACGTATTTTTCCATACTTGGTTGGGAGCAACAATGTGGATTAATCCTAAAAACAGATAATTGAGAAATATTTGAATTTGACTACAGAAACTTTCATGTTGTTTCATTTTTGTTTTCCTGGGAAGCTTAGGTTTTCATTGTGTGTTTATGATGCTAATATTTAAATGTGTTTGCATTTTCTTAGCAGATGCTACATGACAGAGTTGGGGGATGGTTTAGTAGTCCAGGAACAAAGCTGGGCAAAGCCCACCCAGGTTTTAAAGTTTGCCATTATTTACAAGATGAATAATTCCCACATAGGAGAATCAAGAGTCATCAACTAAGGCTTAATACCCAGAGGACTGTCACTGTGAATGAGAATTGTGGTGCAGTTTTTAACATCAACACATTTCTTGAATAAGCTGCAAATGCTTTTAATAATATAGCTCAGGGTTAATTTCAGCTATGCTACTGTGGCACTTTTTGCTCCTCTATTTAAAACACACACACACACACACACACACACGCACGCACGCACGCACGCACACACACACGCACTATCCTGTTATCAAATCAAGCTGTGATTTGGGTAAGGCATCGTATTTTCCTCAATAAGCACAAGGAACAGAGAAAAAAATGTTTTTCACTTATAAAACTTTTTAATATTTGTAAGGCTTTTCACATACTTGATTTTGTTCAATTCTTACAAGAATGCCTTCTTAACTGTTTAAAATGTGAGAGAATTGATAGTCAGTAAGGATAAGTAAATTGTCCAAGGTCTCAGCACCAGGACTCTTTTTTTTTTTTTTTGTGGTGGCTCCAGTGTGGGGATCTGTACCCTTAGAACTTGGGGTTATAACATTGTGCTCTAACCAGCTGAGCTAATCAGCCAGCCCAGTACCGGGATTCTGAATAAGACTTTGCAGTTCAGGCTCCTCACTGTCAGCTTCAGCTAGTCTTTGGTTTCAGGGTTGTGATCTCTCTTCACTGCCTCACGGTCTCTTGCTTCACCTACTCATGAAGATGGTCATTGCCCTAGCTGTTCCTGTCTCTGCCATGCTTACCTTATACAGCTCTGGGAAGGGGTGAGGAGGCTGTGGCCAGTTATATCACTATCACTGTAGGTATTTACCAGCTCTGTTTTCTCCTCCAGCCATTTCAGCTACCGCACAATCCTCCTGAGCGTGTTGTGTCTTGTTCCCTAATATCTGGCCTGCTTTCTTTTCTCAATAACTATAAGACCTAACTTTGCCATTCAACAGCTAATGAAAGTCTTGGGTATGATTGGCAAAGACAAGAAGGAGTCAAACATGACCTCGGAGCTTCAGGTCTGGGTGATGAGGGAATTAGGACACTAGTGATTGGGCACTGCAAGATGTGATAGGAGTTGGTTTTGGGGACGGGGAGATTTAGAGTTTGGTTTAAATGTGTTATCTTTGAGGTAATGGTGGAACAGTCTCCTAGATTCAATTTTCTATCTTCCAAAAAGTAAAATGAATAAATAGGTTGAACCAAATATCTGTGCGTCAGCCACATAGCAAAATTTAGAGTTAAAATAAAAGTCTCTGTTCTTTTTAAGTGCTTCTTAGAGGTCCCATTTAAAACAACCTTTTTGTTATGAAAATGGAGACTTCCTATGCCTTTTTGATGCTGTTTAGAGAAAATTATCAAATATTGCACAAAATTTGGGGTGGTTGTGTATCTTATGAATCAACGGTGGCATATAAAAAGATTCCTCAAAGCCTTAAATGTAGAAAATGTTATGGAATTTTATTCTTGAATTGTTTCCCTCCTTCACTTTGGTGTTTATATAGTACATCAGATATTTTATGTTATTTTAATTATATTTTGTGCCTTTTTATTTGTTAAAAAAGCTGCCTGCTACTTATAACAGATTTTAAAATATCCCTTTAAACCCTTTTCAATTCTTGCACCTCCTTTTCCTTTCTCTGTTGTAGTCTCAACCACCTGAACATAACCTAGAAAGCTAGGTATAGGCCAGTTGATGTTTCATTGGAAACAAGAGAAAGAAGAACTTACTATTTCTCAATGCTTAATTGAGAAAAAGCACATGATGTCTTATATATTTTAAATTGGAGGGGATAAGAGGGTCAAGTCCATGCATTATCATGTGAACATCTTAATCCTATCAATGGCTTAGTCAAAATGAGAAAGTTAATGAATTTAAGCAGACATGTATGAACAATGCTCTACAAAAAGATGACATTACACCTTCCCAGCCCTGTACCTACATGAAAAAAAGCTATGGTATACATTGCCTTTGAGAAAGGGTCATGCTGACTGGACATGGCAGACCCTACTAGTTCATCCTCCTGGTATTCCCTCACCTGCCAAGAGTCAGAAGGACATAGGAGTATGTGGTTAAGTTCTCTAAGCATTCATTTTTTTCCTAAAGTGAGGCAGTTTTATGGGTTGTACCTCAAGTCTCTTGATTCACAGGCTAGTGTTTTCTTGACTGGACTACATCATCTTACTATAAGTTTTTGGACTTATAGGAAGTCAGATGTTTTCATGGACTCTTCTCTTTTCCATACAGATGTCCAGAGGGCTTCTTAGGAGAATATTGTCAACATCGAGACCCCTGTGAGAAGAACCGCTGCCAGAATAGTGGGACCTGTGTCGCCCAGGCCATGTTGGGGAAAGCCACATGCCTTTGTGCCCCAGGGTTCACAGGGGAGGACTGCCAGTACTCAACCTCTAACCCCTGCCTTGTGTCTAGAGGAACACAAGGAGGAACCTGTCTGAATGGAGGAACCTGCCACATGCTCAGCCCAGATACCTATGAGTGCATCTGCCAAGTTGGTTTTACAGGTAACAAATTGGACTCAAGCCCATACTTTCCTACTCTCAGTAGGTATCTTTATTTAGCATCTTTTAGACCTGGGTGTCTCTCTCTTAAGGGTCCCCTAACTTTGGTGCACATTTAACATTATGATAAGGAACTGTAATGCTCCAGACAACAATCTGTAACTTTCTTTTGGGAGTTTTAAGGGGCAGAGAAGGAGAAAGAAAAAGGGTCAAGTACTTAGAAGTAATTGATTGTTTACAGTATGTATGTCAGGATTGGGTATCAGAATTACTTCACTAAAGGAAAGACACTGTTAGCAGAAGAAAAGCTGTTGATGCTGTTGATTACTTGCTTCTTGAAATCTCTCCCTAAGCATTCAGGGCACTGGCTTATCTGGTTTTCTGAATTCTGATTGTTCCTTTTACCTCTTCATTACCTTGTTCTTATCCATTAAATTTTTGTCTTCCTTGGAACACCATTTTGAGCCTACTTTTGAGCCACATTCCAGCTCTCCGTAGGGAATCTTACCATCTTCAGTTGCTTCAGGTGTTGTTATCTTCATCGGTTGCTGATGATCCTCATAGTCATCTCTTTTACTTCAGCCCCACCCTGATATTCAGGCTCCTATTTCTCACTGTCCACTGCACGTTCACCTGGAGAATTCTGCAAGTATCTCAGACTCAGTGTGTTGTTGTAAATAAATAACACCGCTGTATACTCTGAATACCCAAACTAGAAACTCCCTTTCCCTTGTCCTAACCTCATTTAAACTCAGTCACCAGCCCAACCTCTGAATTACATCTCACCTGTCTACTCTTATTTTCCTCTGCTACTCATAATTAAAATGTCACTTTGCCATTAGAAAGATCTCTTTTTGTTGTCGTGCCGGGTTCTGATCATCTTAATGCATTTGCCACTTTTGTCTATCACTTTAGGAATCATCACAGGTCAAGTTCATCCTTTTGGGTTTTTTTGACAGTCCTGTGTCTTCCCTAGTCGGACCTTATTATCTCATCTCCACTTGTGGATGAAGAAGCAGAGGCTGTAAGTTTGTGCCTAGGCATAATGTATATGGAAAACCAAGTTCAGGGTCCTTTCTGTTTCAGTTGTGCACAAATACTCTGATATCCATGGTTGCCATTTACATCTCTTCTCCCCTATAGGTACCTCTTAGTGGAATGAAGGAAAAAATAGGAAGAAAAATTGCAGTTACTTCATTTTCTCTCTGCCTAGCACTCTGAGATGTATGTGCTGTGTGCAAATTTTTATTGCATCTTTCTCCTTTGGGGAGGGGGTTCTGTGTGTGTGTATGAGGGGAGCATTAAGGATGACTTTACAAAGGTGGTGATTTTTGACATCTCTTAATAGGCAGAGAGCACTTCACTGTGCTCACATGTTACCTCTTTTCCCCTTTTAGAAAAGCTGTAATGTCTCTCGTTTACTAATCTGTGGGATCGAAGATTTGGATCTTCTCCTAGACAGCCAACTGGAGTATTAACAAATTCAGGGAGTTCTCATCTCTTTAGTTTAAAAAATTAAAGGCTTAGGCTAATAAAAACAGAAAGCTGCACAAATACCAAATTTACTAGGACCATGGGAGTATTTCTCTCTCTTTCTATGTCAAAGAATCTGCTTTGCTTCCCTTGGAGTCATGCCTTAGGATTCAACATGTCAGAGTCTTCCTGCTACTGCTGGTATTTTTCTACCTGAGATAGTCAACGAGAATTACCTTTCTAGGCCTCTGTTCTAACGACAGCTATTTCTTTTGATGTATAGGGAGCCAGAAATCCTTCATCCTCTTCAAACACTGAAGTGATATCTATAGCAAGACTGTGATAAATTAATGTCTTCCAAAATATGTGTGTCCATGTGTGCTGTGTTTAAAGTAAACAGAACTAGTACGGTCTTGTTTCTATCACCTGAGATTACTTAGTAACTATATATTGTGGAAAATATTAATACCTTTTGTTCATTCAACAGATATGGTTTAAGAGCATACTATGGGAACCTGACCCCTGCCAGTGTGACAGGTGGTATAATAGAAGGAAATAGCAAACTTGGGGTGTGTGTGTGTGCGTGTGTGTGTGTGTGTGTGTGTGTGTGTATTTGTGAGGGGGCATTAAGGATGACTTTATTTTACAGAGGTGATTTTGAGCAGAGTTTTCAAGGTGAGAGTTCACTAGGTAAGCAAAAAGGAATATGGCCTTTTATTTTATTTTATTTTATTTTATTTTTTCCTTTTTGTCTTTTTTACTGACCGGTAACGGGATCGCAACCCTCCGTGCTGCGCCTGCACCGCGCTCAGCCAGTGAGCGGGAACCGGTCTCCACATGGGATCCGAACCCTCAGTGGGAGCGCAGCTGCGCTCCCAAGCGGCGCACTCTTCCGTGCGCCACTGGGCCGGCCCAGAATATGGCCTTTTAAACAGAGGAGCAACTTATGCAAAGATAGGAGGTGTGAGAGTGTAGATGGATCCAGACCTTTATTTGCCATAGAGACTGATAGAATCCTGCAGGACTGGCTTCATATGAATGACCTAGTTTTCTCCATATGCTGTACCCACTGAGTCTTTGTGTCTTGGCTGAGGGCCTTGGAGAGTTTTTGGAGAGTGCTCTGTGTCAGCTGATCTTGAGGAGGCTCTGATTTGGTCTTCTTTAAAATTCAAAGAGCTTAGGGATTCTCCATGCAAGAGCTCTCTGATGTCACCTATTGGGTGGGAGATGAGGGTGTTGAAGTTGGGGTTGGCTCCTATTTCTGTGGGCAGTACTGAATTCTGTTATCCTTCCTTTAGGTAAGCTGTGCCAATGGACTGATGCCTGCCTGTCTCATCCCTGTGCAAATGGAAGTACCTGTACCACAGTGGCTAACCTGTTCTCCTGCAAATGCCTCTCAGGCTTCACAGGGCAGAAGTGTGAGACTGATGTCAATGAGTGTGACATTACAGGACTCTGTCAGCATGGTGGCACCTGCCTCAACCTGCCTGGCTCCTACCAGTGTCAGTGCCCCCAGGGCTTCACAGGCCAACATTGTGACAGCCCCTATGTGCCCTGTGCGCCTTCTCCCTGTGTCAATGGAGGCACCTGCCGGCAAACTGGTGACTTCACTTTTGAGTGCAATTGCCTTCCAGGTAAGGAGCTCCCAAGTGTCCTGGGACCCCTAGCACAGGAGGAAGGTAGTGGATGTGGCTCAATTGCTCCTTTAGGAAGTATCCTAAAGTGGGGGAAAAAGGGAAGTGAGCATTTTGTGTGGAGTGGGTTGCTGGTGAGGCAGGAGTTTTATAGGCACACTGTGGTCCATAAACTGAGCAGGGGGTAATTTAACATGTGAGAGTTTAAGAAGATGAGTGGCTAGGAAATTGCTTATCATCCTTTTGGAGAAACAGTGAAAATAAGAGAAACAGAGCTCTGGGAAAGGGACAGGCAAAATCTAGAATGGAAAAGAGTGCAATGAGAATTAGACATTGGAAAATATGTATATATGATTAATAAAATGCTTTAAACTGAATTGATACTAATAGTAGGTGATCAACTTTCCTAGATGCTTTAGCCTCTGTTAGGGTAATTTGTTATTTTCCTATCCACCTAAATGCACCAACCTGCCCTTTCATGAGTATCCCTGGGCTACTCGCCTTCAGAACCCTCTCCCATGGATCCTTTCTGACTTTGGAGTAATGCTGCCCTAACCTGAAGCTGGAGAATTTTGAAACTGGTGTTAATTAATCAGCACTTTTTGGTGAGCTCTGATAGGTGATGTATGAGAGACTATGCAAGACACAATACTTTATCATACTCTTGACTGGTTCAAGTCTGCTAGAGCACACACATAACCCCAAGATAAAAGCAAAAAGAGGAGCAGTGTCTGGGAGCTGGGGCCCATTGTTCCATGGAGAGGGAGAAAGGAGCAAGCCTGGCCATTTCACTAAACTCCTTATAAAAATGATGAGGAGGCTGAAAACCAAGAATTTTGATTGGGAACAGAACACCAAGCAGCTGGAGCAGATGAATTACTAAGCAACAAAGATCCTGTTTTATACAAATATCCTTAGTACAAAAACAAAAGAAGAAAAACTGTAGGAGGGAATAATGTGCTAAGTAAGCAGAATTGCCTCAAAAAGAAGTTGTTCTACTACTCTTTCAGAGTGGGAATCTTAGATTCTGGTGTTATGGATATGATATGGTTCACATATGATGGGATTGTGTGTTTTATCTTTTGGGGATTAAAGGTCATAGTTTGGTCCTCAGTATAAACCTAAATGATAATTTATTAATTTTATTAGGTAAAAATTTATTGATTGCTGTGTTCTAGGCACTGTGCCATATGCTTGGGATATAGTGATACAAGACACTGCCACATAATTGAAATGAAAATCTTATCTCATTTAACTAAGTCACAAGAATATTATTTAATTGTATTGCTTTTAGTTTCTCTTCCAATGAGGAAAAGATAATGCTATTATTCTAGTACTAAATAAATGTTTATTAACATAATATTCTATCCTCATTATCTTGTAGAAGGAATAACTGAAAGATATCTTTCTTCACTTCTGTATTTGTTTTTATTTTAAGGGTTAAAGACAGAAATAGAAATGTAAACAATTTAATTTCACAAATATTTTAGTATTACAAATATTCTAGTAGTCTAATATTCTAATAGTCTCAGTGGCTAGTAATTGAGGTTAGTGTGATTTATTATTGAAAGCTATATGCATTTCGCAGTTTTAAGAAAATTACTTTTAATAGTTGCCTAGAACAAGAGGTTGATTTGGCAGCAAAATATTGACGGGAAGTTAGAGAAGTCAATAAAGGAAGTTTTTAGCTGAGAGAGAGTGATTATTCACTCCCATAGTCTCTGCATTGTTATCCGTCAGCCACAATAAGATCCTTAGGGAATTCTGAGAGTGTGTCCAGGAAAGGATCTGTCAAACTAGAATAGTGTCTCCTCCTTGAGAAAGGAAATAACCAGGGATTCCGCAGCTGAGAGGCTGCCAGGGCTAGTGGGATGGAGTAAGGAGATCTTGGCTGTCTTTTATGCTCTGCTTGTAGTTTAAAGCAAGATGTTTATTTACTCACTGACGGTGTGAGTCTGTATGTGTGTATGTGTGTGCACGTGTGTGTGTGTGCTGGGGATCAAGATGTGGGGAGAAGATTTGGCAGAGGAGAAAACTAACGTTTATTTAATAACTTTTATGAGTCAGGCACTGTGCCAGGTACTTATGCAACCACTATCTCAATTACACAGAAACCTTGGGGACAGGTATTATTTTTTGAGTTTTCCCATGTGAAGTAACTGAAGTTTGGAGATGTTAAGTGGTTTACCCAAAGTTGAACGAGGCGATATGTGGTTAGGCAGGGTCCTGAAACCGAGATAGATTGTTTCCAAAGCTTGTGCTTTGTGCATCTTACTGCACTGCTCAAGTGCTTTGAAGATGTCTGAAACGTTGATAAATGCTTTGAGCTGTTTGGGTTAAAAAAAAAAAATTCATGTTGGGCCGACCCTGTGGCGCACTCGGGGGAGTGCAGCACTGGGAGCGCAACAGCGCTCCCGCCCGCGGGTTCGGATCCTATATAGGGATGGCCGGTACGCTCACTGGCTGAGCGCGGTGCGGACGACACCAAGCCAAGGGTTGCGATTCCCTTACCAGTCACAAAAAGGACAAAAAAAAAAAAAAAAAAATATTCATGTTATAAGGAAAAATGAGATTCTCCTAATTATAATCAAATAGTATTGTTACATATCAACCTGTGTAGCGTATTGTGCAAGTGTTTAAAAATAGTTAAGTAGACCATTTCTTCCCTTGCAGGGTCCTGTGATCTAAAATAGATGACTTGAGCTTACGCAAATATATAGAAGGAAATTAAAAAATTCAAAATAGTTGATGCAGTGATACTGGTAATAAATATGTATTTAAATAATTTGTGGGATTTTTCTGCTCATTGTTCTTATATTCCAGGTGAAGTCTTGAAAGTATTTAATTTACTTCCACGTAGGGAAGAGTGCCTTGAAACTATTTTCTTTTAGAAAGTCCTTTTCATAATGCAGTACCATTCTCCTTGCCCCTCTCTCCATGGCTCTCCCCACTATTCAAGAGACTAAAATGTTATTTAAAATAATAGTCACCATCCCAGTGTGAACTGCACCCCTATTTGAAGAGAATTATTATTTCAGTTTTAAAAATGGGGAAACCAGGTCAGAAGGAGGCAAAGTAGCTTGCTAAGATAAGATAGTCTGCTATTCCCAAATGGCCACTTCCCGCCACATTTCAAGTCTTTGCACTTCTTTTTTTTTTTTTTTTTTTTTTTTTTTTACTGACCGGTAACGGGATTCCAGGTGAAGTCTTGAAAGTATTTAATTTACTTCCACGTAGGGAAGAGTGCCTTGAAACTATTTTCTTTTAGAAAGTCCTTTTCATAATGCAGTACCATTCTCCTTGCCCCTCTCTCCATGGCTCTCCCCACTATTCAAGAGACTAAAATGTTATTTAAAATAATAGTCACCATCCCAGTGTGAACTGCACCCCTATTTGAAGAGAATTATTATTTCAGTTTTAAAAATGGGGAAACCAGGTCAGAAGGAGGCAAAGTAGCTTGCTAAGATAAGATAGTCTGCTATTCCCAAATGGCCACTTCCCGCCACATTTCAAGTCTTTGCACTTCTTTTTTTTTTTTTTTTTTTGTCTTTTTTACTGACCGGTAACGGGATCGCAATCCTCGGTGTCGTGCCCGTACCGGGGACGGGCAACGGGATCGCAACCCTCAGTGGTGCGGGAACCGGTCTCCACATGGGATCCGAACCCTCGGCAGGAGCGCCGCTGCGCTCCCAAGCGGCTCACCCTCCAGTGCGCCACTGGGCCGGCCCGAGTCTTTCCACTTCTAATTGAGGCCTACCCTGACCATCCTATTTAAAATTGTAACTGTCCCTCCACCCCTTCTTCATTATTGAGCCTGGTCTACTTTTTGTTTCTTTTTCTGTAACTCTTATCTTCTAACTGTATAATTTGTACTGTATAATTTAGTTCATTATGTCCATTGTTTATTGTCTGTTTATTGTCCATTTCCAAATTCTGTTGCCTCTTCAATGAAAGCTAGGATCTTTGGTTTTGTTTTGTTTGTTTGGTATCCCAAACAACTAAAAACAATGCCCGGTACATAATAGGCCCACAAATATTTATTGACTGAGTAATCGTGTCATACTGTTGAGAATGTAACTTTGGTCTTATTTTCTTCCTGGTGTCTTGCATCCTAGACTTAGTTTGGCTTCTTTTTTTTTTTTTTTGGTCCTTTTATGCTAACTCTGGATAAGAGTAACTTTGGAGTCTTTTTCAACTCTGAGAATTGGTGAACACCATGTTAAGTTAGTGATTATATTTAAATGCTTAAAGTTAAATTTTTTTCCTGCAAAGGGTATTGTAGTTACTGTGAGTTGATTTTAGTATTTATTGTAGGACTTGTGGGGAGGGAATTAAAACTGCAAAAAAACTGTCACACTTTGTGTGACATAGAAAAAAATGTTTCTCCACAGAGGGAGGAAAAAAGAGTATCTTCAAGAGGGAACTCACAGAATCAAATCAAGGAACCACATTTCATCTTCTCCTTGGATTAGCAACTATTAATAATCCAGACACTTCATGAGTGTCCATTGTGTAAAGTCTTTAGTAGAAGCTGATGGAGGGACACCCAGCCACAGTAATTTCAATGTAAGAACAAAATAGTGCATGAAAATAAGTTATGGAATCATTGACTCCTAGTATTTTGGGGTAGGGCCAACCAATGGGGAGAGAATGAGTTAGCTGGTTTTGTGTTTGTGGATATATTAATAAAGTAGCACAGTAATCAGAAAACAGTGAGCTGTTTTCAGTCTGTTTCACCCATCCCGCGTGAGTTCGCAGCTGGATTGGACAGTCCTTGATGTACTTTTCCTTTTTCTTTCTCTCCCACATCTCCTTATTCCTTTATGATTTTTTTTTTAAAACTTCATAAAAAGCTGTCTGATCTGTCCTCTCCAAACAATGAAATTTTTTCTTTTGTAAGCCACCTCTGCACTCCACAGGCTGATTATATGTAATATCCCTGTATCATTAAAATAAAGCTTAAGCACATTTTGTGGCTTTTTTGTCTGCTCTGTTGTTGC